TCATGACCTGAGCCGAAGGCAGATGCTAACCGACTGAGCCACCCAGGCACCCCAACAGTGGATTTAATAGTCGTTTTAAAGCTTTACTTATTTAAAATGAAATCACAATTTGAATCTCTGTGGTAATTAAGGAGGTTGAATATTTATTCTTTTAGCCATTTTGGGAATTACTTGTTCTTTTATAAAATGAGGTGCTCCTTTTTATTGATTTGAAGGACTACTTTACATATTAAGGATAGTAATTCTTTGACTATTATAAATACCAAAAACATTTTTTCTAACTTATTATTTTTAGTTTTATAGTATTTCTTGCTCTCCCAAACTTAATATATATTTTTTAAGATTTTATTTATTTATTTGTCAGAGAGACACAGAGAGAGAGCATGAGCAGGGGGAGTAGCAGGCAGAGGGAGAAGTAATGTCCCCCTGAGCAAGGAGCCAGATGTGGGACTCGATCCCAGGACCCTGGGATCATGACCTGAGCCAAAGGCAGACGCTTAACTGACTGAGCCACCCAGGCATCCCAATATATATTTTTTTATTTAGCTAAATCAGTCATTTCATTTCTTTTTTCATTGTTGCTCTGCTTAAAAAGGTCTTTTCCAATACAAGATGACATAAAAATGTACCTGTGTTGGGTGCCTGGGTGGCTCAGTTGGTTAAGTATCTGCCTTCAGCTCAGATCATGATCCTTGATCCCATGATTGAGTCCCACATTAGGCTCCCTGCTCAGCGGGGAGTGTGCTTCCCCCTCTACCCCTCCCCTGGCTTGTGCTCTCTCTTGCTCACTCTCTAAAGTAAATAAATAAAATCTTTTTAAAAAAATGTACCTGTGTTTTCCTTTAGTATAGTTATTTTTTATGAAAAAAATTAAAATGTTAATCTGCTTAGAACTCATTTTGTTGTGATACATGAAGTAGAGAGTTGATTTGGTGGTTTTTTCCCCCCAATTTGTTAGCTAGCATCAAAAGATCATAAATAACAGAAATAAAATCAATGAATCACCAAAGTAGTAATTAGTAAAAGTTTATTGTGCACACATCAAAAAGGCAGCTTGCAAACTGGGAACACTAAAGCCAAAACATGGAATGAGGCTCAGGGGTAATGTTTACTTCATATCAATTTTTGAAAACACTTGAGGTTTTGCTTATGATTTCCAGAGACATAAGCAAGAGATGACCCAGGTCAAGTTAGCCTTGCGAAAGAAGTTAAATTAGGGTTTGTTTGTATGACTAAACTGGTTTTGTCTGCTCAGATAATTTTTAAGGCTTGTCTCCATTTGTTTTTTAAATTAAATTAAATTAAATTAATAAAATTTTATTTATTTGACAGAGTGAAAGAGTACAAGCAGGGGAGAAGCAGAGGGAGAGGGAGAATCAGGCTCCCTGCTGAGCAGGGAGCCCAGTGCAGGGCTCAATTCCAGGACCCTGGGATCATGACCTGAGCCAAAGGCAGACTCTTAACCCACTGAGCCACCCAGGCAACCCTTTTTTTTTAAATTTGAGAGAGAGAGAGAAAGGGAGAGCGAGCAAGCATGGGCACGAGCAGGGCCAGGGGGAGAGGGAGAGAGAGAATCTCAAGCAGACTCCCCACTGAGTGTGGAGCCTGATGTAGGGCTCCATCCCAGGACGCTGAGATCATGACCTCAGCCGAAATCAAGAGTTGGCTACTTAACCGACTGAGCACCAAGGTGCCCCAGTCTCCATTTGTTTTTGGTATTAACACTAGTTATCTCAGGACCTTTTATTGGATAATCATCATTTCCTCACTTATTTGAAATGTTAACTTTATCATGCACTGATTGGGTCTCTTTCCAAATTTTCTATTCTCTTCCGTTAATATTTCTGCCTGCACATTTTATTAGGGCAGGTATATTGTCTTTTTCAAAAGGTTTTTTGGAATAACGTGTTTTTCTCAAGCCTATTTTTTCTCTTTGAGAGTTGTTTAGCAGGGAGTCCACTATTTAAGAAAAAAGACCGCAAAGCACCTTGAAACTTACAGCTTATAGAATGCTATTTTACTAACTTAAATGTCTGAAGGCTACTGTATGAAGATAATCTGTCTTGAAAAGTACGATTTCTTATATTTTCTTTCATGTCTGTCAGTAATTCTGTATCTTCATAGAACTAAGACTGCATTCGTTTTTCCAAATAAAGAACATGGACAGTGTCAGGAATATAATTCTGGATATGACAGTATCTGAACCTCTGTATTTCAGGAAGCTGGGGCTAAATGTTGATTTCTCTAATGGATGATGTGTTTCTAAGAAGCCGTACCTACCTCCTGTGGTTGACTCTGGAGCAGGGACTGTGAGACAGGGGATCCATGGTGGCTTTTTGACATTAACCTTTTCAGGCATAGAGTTCACTACCGAATGAACTTTTGGCCCTGCAGGGCAAGACTTTTGAGTTCAGTTGTCTTTTGTTCAAAATCAAACCAGAACTATCAAATACACTTTACTTCTATTTTTTTTAAGATTTTATTTATTTACTTGACAGAGAGAGGGAACACAAGCAGCAGGAGCTGGAGAGGGAGAAGCAGGCTTCCCATGGAGCAGGGAGCCCGATGCAGGGCTCAATCCCAGGACCCTGGGATCATGACCTGAGCCGAAGGCAGATGCTTAACGGCTGAGCCACCCAGGCGCCCCTACACTTCCCTTTTAAAGCTTATGCCATGTTTATTTGGCTTAAACCTGTCGAGCTCCCTGTTGTAGCTTTGGAGTCACGCGACTACTACAAGCCCTGCAGACATTTGCAGTAATGTTAGATTAGTACTAATGTTCTAACGTGGAAATCAGTTGGGCTTCATGAGCTGAAAGCTGGAGTTACCAGGGGCTCGAAACCTATGTTCAGGGAGAACCACCGGTTTAAACATGATCATGTTAGAGTTTCAATTTTTGGATTTTGAATTCTTAGTCAATTATTATGTATTGGCAGTGTTTATTGTGCTCAGAGCAGATAAGATGTAAAAGTAGGGTCAATGGAAAAGGAATGGGAATAATAGATACTGTTAGGTGAACCAGATGTCTGTTGCTTTTCACTCTCACTGCTGTCTGTAGTTCACGTTGGACCTGTGTGCCCAAGGGAAGAGACAATGTTACTGTGTTCCTGGTTCTGCAGATTTAAGTAAATTCTTTTTGTTTTTTTTTGTGACTGGTCTTTTAGAGAAGGCAAATTCCTTAGTGAAATTTCCTGCTGGTTTTTTGTATCATAGGCATATTTTTAACAGT